TTCTGTGAGATGCCTCATTAATCAAAATGTACCTACCATGTGATGGCCAAACGGTGACTAGGACTCCCCATTAGGACTCCCCAGTGACCCTGGGTCTGGACAGTTACTCAGGCCACTAGATGGCACTTGGACTCAGTAACCTCTTGCAGCGAATGACCAGCCAAGCCTCTGGGGGAGCAGTGGTCAGAGCGCTGGGCGGTCTGTCCCTTACTACCTGTCCAACCTTGGGCAGGTCACCCACTTCTCTGGACCACAATTTCTCCATTTGTAAAATGAAATGATTCCTCGATGTCTTCTGGGGTTTCTTCCAGCTCTAAATCCAGCAAAAATGCCCATCCTGAAGGAAGCCCTCCCTGATTTAGACGTGGGTAGTCATACCCTAAGGCTTGACCTTCTTTGATTTCCTGGGGTTGGGGCACTACAGAGCTCTTCTTCTATCTAGACTAATACGTTACCTTGACAAATGAGTAAGTCAACAAACTTAGAGCCAGGAAGACTTGGATTCAAATCCTGCCTCAAATGCTGACTAGCTGTGTGACTCTGAGCGAGCCACTTTAACATAACCCAGTTTTCCCATTTGCAGAATGAGTAGATTGGCCTTTCAAGTTCCTTCTAGCTCTGAATCTATGATCCCACCATATCCAGTACTGCAACCTTGCTCTCCTGTATCTGCTGCGGTCCTCTCCAATCTCCTTCCCCTGAAACAAAAGAACAAATGTAGAGCCCAAGCGTGAAGGTCCACATTCATGGATCACGTATTTGGCCTCCAGTGGGGAGGGCCTTACAGCATCAGCTCTTCTCTCACTGGGATGTGGCCAGAATGGAAGAAGTCAACCCAATATGGATCCAGGCTTTCTAGAGCCTTGGGAATGCCCCCAGGTCCAGGCTCCCCACCACGTGATTAGCAGACCAGTACCAGTCACTAAATATCCGTCATGTGCTCCAAAGCTCCAGCACTTCTTAAACTGTGGGTTGGGACTCCATATCCAGTCTTGACCCACAGTTTAAGAAGTGCTGAAGGACTGCCTTTTCAATAAAGGTGGGTGGGGAGGGAGGAAGGGAGAAAACGTGTAACCCAAAGATTTAAAAACGTATGTTAAAAATTAAATAAATAAATAAAAATAAAGTTACCAAATCACAAAAAAAAAATCCAAACTAAAAAAAAAAAAGACATGTATGATCTAATTCTGTGTGGGCAGATAATCTATAAGTCACCTGGCTGTAATTAAGTCGCATCCTGGTCCTTCATTTTGGCTTAAGTACTAACTAAATAGAAGTGTAAGCATTAATGATTATCATTTAACTTACCCAAATTTACAGAGGTATTTTATTTTAGAATCTGATCCTTGAGGCAATTAAAATTTAATGGACATTTTTGACACTCCAAAAACCACAGATTATATAAAATAAAAGTCACCTGTATCTACAGTGCATCCTGATACAACTGTATTCATTTATAGGAAAGAAAAAAACAAGAAGTGCTGAAGGAGAGGGCAGCCAAATGGTGCAGAGGATAGAGCCCCGGCCCTGGGTTCAGGAAGACCTGAGTTTAAGAAACCCTATTCTACACAACTTTCTTTACATGAGGGTCATCATGACTCTCCCAAAAGCAAGTGACCCAGCCTCTCCTACATAGCCACCGGCATGAGCAGCACTCTGCCGGTGCTCCTAAGGATGAGCTTCTCAGCCAGTGCATTTCACTAGGATGCCAATCTGGTCCAAATGCCACGACCTTTCATCAGTCGCTCAATTCCTCTTTTAATAGGCCATGTAACTTAGAGCTAGTTACAAAAAAAAGAGGAGCTTAGATATCTCCTCACAATCTTACCACAGAGCAAAACACGAGGATACTTCGTTGCTTTGAATTAGCCATGATTAAGCCTGTGCACAGAACTGGTGTGAGTGTTGATTAGCATTCAGACTGGGTTGGCAAGTGCTTCCCTCTCTCTCTTCCCCCCCCCCTCCCCCACCAATCCATCAGTATTTAGCTATCATCCTCCTTCCCCAGATCTCCTTGAGAGCCTAACCAACTGGAGTCCATCTTACTTGCAAGGACAACTCTCATCTCACTTTCAAAATGTGAGCGCTTAAACTCTGCCCTTAGCAATGCATGATGGTCCTTCACGCTAACCCTGCCCCAGGTTTCCCACAGCTAAACTCTCAGACACCAAGTAGTTGGACAGATGGTGGATGAATTCTAGTTGACCTCTGAGGTCCCTTCCGGCAATTAGATTCCATCATTTTGTGACCCCCCCCCCAAAAAAAGAAAGTGTTTGCTGAGTTTTGTCCCTCCTCCAAACTGAACGACAGCAGCACACGAGCATGCTGCACCTGCACGCGCCCGACAGACCTCAGCACTTCCCCTTCAAGAGGCTCCTCAACTCCCCACCGGCTCTAGCACACACAGGGAAAATGGCTCCAAATTTTGCTGCTTTATTATTTTATTCATTATTTCATGGCGCCAAAATGTAGTTACAAAAGACAAATTAATTTAGTGTGTTCAGTAATACTTTTGGGTAGAGTCCTTTACTATCGCGTGGCCCGTTCGTCAAAACACTCAGCAATTGAGGAACGCCATCCTATTTCCCTGCATGGTGGGATTACGGGACAAGTCGGGGTGATCACAGTAAGGTCCTAGCATAACGAGGACGTTAAGAGAACTAGCTCCCTAAATCCTCTTATGGGCTTCCTCCAGGTTCAAACTGGAACCCAGTCTGCGTGCTACATGAGGGAGCTGGACTGGACAGCACTATGGAGCCAGAGACATGATAAGATATTACGATATTACGATAGCATCATTGTCATCATCATCACCTACAGTACAGTGAGGTGCTTCATAAGAAGGCTTTATTGTTATTCAGTCCTTTCAGCTGTGTCTGACTCCTCATGACCCCATTTGGGGTTTTCTCAGCAAAGATACTAGAGTACTTTGTCATTTCCTTCTTCAGCTCATTTTTACAGATGAGGAAACTGAGGCAAGTAGGGTTAAGTAACTAGCCCACAGTTACTAGACACAGCCAGTAAGTATCTGAAGCCAGATTTGAACTCAGGAAGATGAGTCGCTGTGCATTGTGGCACCACCTAGCCGCCCCAGGAGGGCTTTATTGCAGCACTCTTTCCCAATTATACAACGAAAGACAATGAAGGGAGTGAAAACCCTCGTTGGGGGACACAATGGAAGCCATCAGTGGCAGGAAACACAGTCTGGGTCACCTTATTCCCAGTCCAGTAGGCTCATCCACTTTACCCCAGTGCCTCTGCCACACACAGAAAATCTTTGTTACCCTACAGAAATGACCATACAGAGGAAAGTTATTCTTGGGAAAAGAGATCATGAAAAATCCATGAAATATTTGTCTTCATCTGCAGTAAAGGCTGCTATAGGAAGACATGGGCCATACTGGGAAAGATGTCAGCTCTGGGTGCTATTAGACAATACACATCCCAGCAGATCACAGGTGATCACACACCTAACAGTAACTGAGACAAAAACCTACATTGCCCAAGGGGATTTGCCGGCTTAGGAATGGAGCAGCTGGACTGGACCTCTCCAAGGTCCTCTCCAACTCTCTGTGAAATGCTGGAATAATGGGCCCTGAGGCATGTTTCCATGCCTTGGTTTACTTATGTCTCCAAGCAGGTAAAACAACAATCCATGTTTTACAACAGCCAGGTCAAGATAAAACACAAGCGTGACAGAACAAGCACTCCATCAGGAGGATTAGCTCTCTCCTAAATCTTACCCTTCCAAATCGACACAATCTCGCCCGGTTTTCTTTGGCATTCCTTTTAATCTGGTGCAAATATAATCACCTACTAAAAGCCAAGGTTGTTGCTCTGGGTATGTTAGGTGGTATAGTAGAAAGTACTGGAATTGGAGTCAGGAAGGAAGATCTGAGTTCAAACCTTGCCACAGATACTTAACTAGCTGTGTGACCCTAGATAAGTCACTTAACCTCTATCAGCCTCAGTTTTCTCACTTGTGAAATGGGGCTAATAAAAGTACCTACCTCACAGGGTTGCGGTGAGGATCAAATAAAAGGACATGCCCAGTGCATTGGAACCCTTAAAGCATAAGATAAATCCAATGAAATCCAGCAGCAAGCTTTTAATTACCATCTGCCATATCTTTGTCGCCCAACTCTAGCCTCTTCCAACCTCCACAAAAATCTTCCCTAAGACAGGAAATCATGCCCCCAGAGGAGGGAGCTAAATGTATTTCCATCCCCTGAATAGGCTCAAGGTAAAATGATCGAAATAAATACCCACCTCTTAGTACCCTTGGCCCAAACACACAATTGGTATACTGAAACAGGAAAGGATGCTTGTCTACTGATTTTGTTACCCAGGGCTGAAGGCAGGCAGGGCTCTTGTGATTCTTTGCAAGGCTGACATAGAGCATATCTTCCTAAAGAATCAAGGCGCTGAACTTTGGACCTCGAAGAGAAGCCAGAGGACAGCCAACACATGCTTTCACCATTTTAATCAGAGGCAAGCATCGGAGTGACCACCCCCAACTGTTCTTGCCTCTGATTAAGGAATGGGGGAAAAAAAGAGAGAAAATTCACATTGCCCCTAGGACTACCAGCCTGAATCTCATGGCAAACACTGATAGGGCTCAACCCATGCTATCATTCCTATACTTTGACTCACCTGAATGTGCTGGACAGAGGATTAGAGCCAGAAGGGACCTAGAGGTAGTCTGGTCCCACCCTCTCTCATTGTATGGGTCAGAAAACTGAGGGCCATAGAGGACAAAGGGAATTTCCAAGATCACATAGGTGGTTAGTACCAGAGCCTAGATTTGAACTCTGGTCCTTGAACTCCAAATCCAGGGTTCTTTCCACTATGCCACACCAGGGAATAGGGACACCATGGTCTCAAGCTGGAAAAGAAGCCACACCAGAGCAGGAGTAGCCAGTACGGACGGTTGGCAACCCCCTGTCCTCTGGAATCACCACAATTAGTACAATGAGGTTGTGTCCAGAGTTCTTCTTGGCTCTTAATTGCAATCACTTATTAAAATACAGAAGGAATCCCAACGCAGGGAGTCCACATGGGTCTAAATAGCAGCATCACCAAAGGACGGCAGCATCAAGAGGAACTCGATGGCAGGGTCTTGTAAGGGTTCAGGATTCCCTTGGGATCCAACGTGCCTTTGATCTGCTGCATGAGAAGGATCGCTTCTTGGGTCTTACTGTAGCCAATGAAATCCTTCTTCTTGAACCCCAGCCCGTGTTCTGCACTTATGCTCCCGTGGTGCCGGGCAGTCCACTCATACACATATGGCTCAATGGCCTTCAGGAGGGAAGAGCTGTATGAGTTGGCCGTTACATTTAAATGCAGATTGCCATCTCCTGAAGGAAGAGAACACAATTAGATCAGAGACCGGGCATCCTGGAACACGCAGCATCATGGAGAACAGAGAGAATGTTGGTAACAACAGACCTGCCCATGGTTAAGTATTGGTCAGGTGCAGGTTAGGTAGGTGGATTCTTTTAGCAATGCTTTTGACAAAATCCAACAGACAGAGGCTGCCCCAAAAGCTCACAATGACCAAGACTGAGAGCCCACAGGCAGGGCCGCAGATTGATCGTACGACGTCTTTAAAACAAAACGAGGCAAAAATAACCCTCGAGCACAAGGACCCAACGCTGCATTACTAGCTCTAGATAAATGGCCTCAACACAAGAGCAGGGATCACTTTCCTCTCGTTTAAGTCCTGACTGGCTTCCATGGGACTCACACCCGATTTAGTCTGGGGAAAGGATGCTGGGCAAAGAGCTAAGCACAGATTCTAGCCCCAGCTCGCTCCGGGGCCCTGCCAAGTCACTGAGGTCTTTGGGCCTCCATTTGGGGGGGGGGGTTCTTCTACAGAATGGGGATAATTGGCACATCTATTTGATTGGATAATTTGAAAATTAAATATGACCTTGCAGATCTAGGTAATGGTGCTTTGGCAAAGTTACAAACTCAATGTCCTTAGACATTTTTCAATTTTTTTTTCTTTTAAGCTCTTTCACCAAGTGTTGGCATGGGCACAGGTGCCTAAGCCTGGGCCAGCACCTCTTTGGGGAAAACCCGCCTTGTCAAATTAGCTTTGGGGAGGCTAGTCTGAGCCTGGGTGGAAGCCACAGACCCATCAACCTCCTTCCAGCAACATGCCCATAGAGAAACAGACTTCTTGTCACCCCCACATGCTGCTTGGGAAACCCCAGAAGGACTCCAACATCCCCACACGTGCTGAGGACCCAGCGTCTAGCCTACCCTACCACCCAGGCCCAAAGGATAACCCAGGGACTGAACCTGGGAACAGGATGCAAACTACTGACCTGGCTGTCCCACCCTTTGGGATGAGGAGATGGGACTGCAGGAGCACCCCTTCTCTCCAGGCACAACCTCCCCCACACAATTCTCTCCTTCTACCACCATCACCCCATGCATGCACCTGTGTTGATATATGCCCACATACAGACACATACACATACACACACACACATGGCCCATTTCCATTACCACAGTATGGCAGTAAAGATCCTGCACTTGGAATCAAGTGAGCAGGATTCCAATCCCAGCTCTGCCGTGTGTGTGGTGTGTGTGTGTGTGTGTGTGTGTGTGTGTGTGTGTGTGTGTGTGTGTGTGTGTGACCATGAGCCGGTCCCCCAACCTCCAGAGGCCTGTAAAATGAGGCTGACCGGCCTCAAGGGCCTCCTGATCTACATCGATGAGCACATAATGAGTTCGGCCTTCCCGGTCACCAGATGCTTCGGGTCCCAGGCTTGGCAGAGTCTCAGACCTTTGGTTGGTAGTCAGCAGGAGCCAGAGCGCCTGCAGCCCACACGTGCCAGTGGCAATGGAAATGACTGGCACACACCTCCCGGCAGGGGGCATAAGCCAAGCGCCATAGGGATGAGGGAAAGGGACGGGCACTGCAAAGTCCGCCCCCTGGATGCTGCCCTCTCTTGCCAGTTGTACAAGGGGTCTGCTGGTCAGCTGTGCACAAGGCAGACCTTGCCTGGCCTCAGGAAGGTCACGTGTCTGGTAATGGGCAGGCGCTCCACGCAGCTCCAGTCCCAGCCAGAGCTCTCCTCTCCGTCCCCAGAGGGCAGGGATGCATTCAGCCCAGCAGAGGCCCCACACCACAGCTCTGTACCCATTCCCAATTTCAAGTCACTTGAAGAGGCTCATGTAGCCACCCACCTCTCCTGCTGGGCCCTGGTGCAAATTGTTAAGAGGAGCTAGAAGCTGCAACGCGAGCAGCCCATCCATGCCGTCGTCATTCAGAACAGAAGACCCATCCCTGAGATGCGAGCACTCAATTACTAATGGTGACTGTGGGCAGTGGTATTCCCAAAACGGAGCTAGGTGCAGGGGGCAGACCATCTGATCCAGACAGGGAAATGTGATGCCATCTGGACACGTGAGTCCTTTTGGAGTATGAGGTCAGGCAACTGTGTGTCTTTGCCCTTGGCTCCTCATGGACCCAAGGTCCAGCGTGAGCTCCCATCATCCAGGACCAGGAAGGCCGAAACGAGAGCAGAGGGCTATCTCTTCTGCTCCTGGGACACCAACCAGCAAGCCGCATGGGCCCGGGCTGCCTCTGGCATCTCTGTGCTCCAACTACGGTGGCACGGGAACCTTATCATCCCCACTGCTCATTCCTTCTACCCTCTGCAGTCTGAAGAGCCCTGTCCTTGGTCCTGACCACTCTCTGCTCTACACCACCATCCTATCCAGCCCAGGCAGCAGGCTCACCCTCTCGGGGACCTTCTGCTTGTCCTCAACATAGTGAAAAGCGGTCCGTCGCCAAGCAGTCATCCCTGTGAGCCCCAGCTTCTCCTGGCTCTCACACCTCAGGCCGTCGAGCCTCCATTCCCAGCCGTTGTCTAGCCAGCTTCCTGCCATCCACTTCTCTTCTTCCCCACTGCACCAGCATTTCATGCTGGAAGCAGACTCCTTTCCCCCTCACCCCTTGCTCTGACCTCTCTGATGTTCCCTCTCCCCTCTTCCTCTCTCATCAGATAAAATGGCGGGGCTGTTGCCTCCCACAGTGCCCATTAGCTCTCCACAGCTCTCAGCTCTTCCTGTTGGTAAGAAGTAGGTCGTCAGTGGCAGTTCCCCTCATCAGTCTCTCTGCCTCTAGAATGAAATTATCCTCAAGGCAGTCCAAGATTTTACCAGCTCTTCTCACTTACACGAAGAGCATCCCAGAAGACACCCCAATAGGTGAAGTCTTGATCACTACAAAACCATGCCTCCATAGCAGTTTCGCCAGCGGCTTTTGGACCTCCTCCCTTTCTCTTCCTTCCGGCCTGACCAGGCGGCTCTGTAATCTACATCCACCACATATTACTTGCATTGCTCCTCCTGCTCCATTCTCCTTCAGCCAAGTGCTCTCCACCCTGATTTTCCCCTCTGGCTTACGGATCCCCTCAGATGAGCACATCTCCTTCTCCTGCACTGCTACACCATCGTGCCTTTTCTCTACCTTCCATTGCCACAGCCAGTCATATGCATGTATCACCAAAGCTCAGGGATGGCTATAAGGCCAACTTTACCTCTACAATCTTTAGTTCATTTTGCTTATTAACCATAGTCTGCATATGGTAGGGCTTACTGACTTGATTTGATTGCACAACCAGGCAGACATCAGAAGCTGTGAGTACCAAGACGGCTCCTCCTCCTAAACACTATCTCCTCTACATTACTGGACCTCTTGACTGCTATTTTCCTATCTGCATCATACATGTTACCTGCAGGAGATGGCTAACAGGTGGCCCTTCTACCAGAACCGTAATTTCCTCAGTTTAAGAACACCTCTGAGTAGCACTGACTGGCAGCTGCTTTACAATCTGTAGTCAGAGTTGCCTGGGGCACTGAAAAGTAAAGTGACTTGCCCAGCGTCACACAGGTAATATAGAACCCAGGCAGGACTTGAACCCAGGTCTTCCCGATTCTGAGGCCAGCTTTCTATCCATTACACCATGCTATCTTGCTGCCTTGCTAGATATCAGCTCTATGCAGATGGCTCCCAAAACTCTATATCTAGCCCTAATTGCTCTCCTGAACTCTGGTCTCAAATTTCCTACTGTCAGCTGGACACCAACACTAGAACTGCTATCATTATCTTAAACCGAATTATCTCCACAACAGAACTCATTACCTTCCCCCCCAACCTGCCCCTCCTCCCCTACTTCTGTTGGAGGCATCACTCTCCTTGTATTCACCCACATGGGAAACCTCTGAGTCATCCTAGCTCCCCCACAGCCTCAGTCACTCCATTCCCCTCCCCCTATATACAGTCAATCGCCCCAAACCTTATTAATTCTGCCCCCCGACATCTCATACTTCTGTTCACTGGCTCTTGATTTGAAACCACCACCCCCCCCGCTTCAGGTCCTCAGTGTCTCTTTCTCTTGTGTGCCCATGACTCCTGTAACAGGCTCCAAACCGGTCTCCCAGAGCTGGGGCCAGAATCCTCCTTCTCTAAATTATCCTCCACACAGCTGCCAAAATAATCTTCCCAAGCTATAGGTCTGACCACCCCCATAGCTCAAAACTCTTCAGTGTCCCTATTTCATTGGAATGAAATACGAAATCCTCTGCTGTGTGAAGCCCGTCACAATCGGGCTCCCTTTCAGAGCACCCCTCTTCACTAAACCCACGATGTTCTGCCATAGAAGTGGCATTCCAAGCCCCCTCTCCGTATCTTTTCCCAAGCTGTCCCCCATGCCTGACATGCATTCCTTTCTCACTTCTATTTCTCCACATGTTTAGCTCAGTCACCACATCCTCCACAAGCCTTAATCTCCTCAGTTACTGGTGCAGTATCCAGACTTGAAACTGTGCTGACTGATGCTGCATCCCCCCTACAGCAGCTCCCTGATTGCAGGAACTGCCTTGTGTTTGCATTGCCAACAAGTAATTCTAGAGCTTTGCACATGGTGGGCACACTGGATTGAATCCTGTGAAAAGCAATCCCTTATAATTGGATGGGGAGGGAGGCTGACGTGGAGTAGGCAGAGAGCTGGCAGCTGGCTCTGTGGAGTCAGGAGGATCTGCCTCTTCTAGAGATGGGCTGGGTGACCCTGGACAAGTCTTGTGACTTCTCAGTGCCCTTTGCCACTCTCTAAGTGGCAGAGCAGGGCTAAGCTGCTTTGGTAAGGAGAGTTTCTGCAGGCCAAGTACCCTGAACTAATGACGTCAGAGATCTGGCTCCTTTCAAAAAAAATTTTAAATGTAACTGTATAGGACAATTCTTCCAAACAATGCAAAACAAAGACCTATAAAGCACTTTGGAAATTCTCTTAATCTGAAAAGACAGGCTCTTGGCCGGCCTTGTTTCAGCCCACTTTGCAGATGTCAATGTCAAGAAGAAGGCCACGAAGTGAACAGGTGCAGTAAGTGGAACCTAACTTAAAGTCTCATGGTTCTCAAGGCAATGCACTGATGACTGAGATACGCTACCCTCCCACCATCCAGGGAAAACGGGCCTTCCCAGGGGGCCACTCACCTAGGTGTCCATAACCCACCACACTCTTGGCACTCTGACCCAGGCGGCTCCGAATGTCAAGCACAATGTCATACAGCTTCTCCATAGGCAGTGAGATGTCATATTTGTATACGTAGCCATCTCGGCTCAGGGCCTCCGTGATCCTCTCCCTCAGGGCCCACAGCATCTAAGAGGCAGGAGGTCAGGGGAAATAAAAACAAGCATTTAGAGGAGCTCCAGTGAAAATAACAGCAAGCATTTCTATAAGACTTGCAGGCACATTGCATTCAATATCGTATGTGACCCTCACAACAGCCCTCTAACAGATGAGCCATTATTGTCCCCATTTTACAGATGAGGAAATTGAGGCTGACGTAAGTTAAGTGACTTATCCAGGGTCGTGTGGGTATTGAGAATAAAGTTGCTTTTTTTTTAGTTTAACACATAATAGTAAGTCCCAGAAGACACCTCATTCACTGGGAATTTTTACTTTATAAAGACGAGAGTGGAGTATGCCAAAAGTTACAACACACAGGCTATTTTCCTAAAGAGTTCTGTCGAAATCAAGTTTTTTTATACTGACTCTCATTTTAAATATGCTGCAGAAACTGACTATTTAAAGTTACCCTGGCGTATATACTTGTATGAAGTGAAGAAACTTTCCTAGAATGAAAAATCACTCCTTAATCTCTTTGTGAAAAATGGAGGTGAAGTCTGGCAAGTGAACGGTGATTTATTAGTATGGGTGGAATTTTTAAAGTTCTGATTCCACCAAGAAAGACAAATGATATTAAGCAAAGTTCATCCTGGGCAAAATAAACAAATAATCCACCTACAAAGTCAAGAAAAGACAATAATTCACAGCCTAATGAAAGAGGGTGGTGAAACCCGTTATTCTCTATCACAACTCTGAAAAGAAGAAAAATACCACTAGTAAGTACCAAAAGGGGATGTGCAACACAATAGATAATTATCCTCTGTGTTAAAAAAAAAAAAGCCCTGGGTTCAAGATGGACCTCTGACACCCTCTGGCCATGTGACCCTAAGCATGTCACTTAACCTCTTAGTGCCCCCAGTTAATGCAAAAAGACTATAAGATTCAGACCAGTTGCTGCTGATCTGCACTGGTGGAGGGAATCTCTATCCCCGAAGTCCCCCACACCAAAGAAATCCCAACAGGGAGGCACCAAAGAAGAAAACATTCACCACCAAACTCAAAAGGAAATTCTGCATCTGTTAACTTAGAAATACCTAAGAGCTTTTCTTTGTTAATCTTTTTCCAAAGTTCCTAAATAACATTAAACTGTAGGATATTCACCAAGGCATGATACAGAAATCTAAGAAGGAAAGGTTCCCAAACAGATTGAGGACCAGAGTTACCTTTATTTTCGTGTTATCCGTGGCTACAGTGCCATCTGTTACCAAACCAGAGCTCATGACCTGCTCCAGAAAGTTAGTCAATTTTTCCTCATCATGCCCAGCGTTAGAGCCCGAAGTTTCAATTAAAACATAGAAGGGATTTTCTGGAACCACACAAGAAAAGCACAAACTGGAGAAGTCGTGAGAGGTATAAATCCAACCAGTAATTTAAAATCAATTCCTGAAAAGCTCGGAGTTGGCACCGTCTGACTTTTCTGCCTTCTACAAATCCCTCCCACGGCTCCTCTAGAGAAAAGCTCAGCCATAATTCAATCGATTTCAAATACTTCTAGGCTAGACCGCCCACTAGGTATGCCCTCTCCCAGTGCCTCACTGTACTCAAGAATTTGTTTAGATCCATTTTTTACAGGTATTTGGAGGGGTTTCCCAGTGCCTCACTGTGGCATGACATCCCTGGAGGGCTAACCAAAGCCAGCTTGGCCATGTCCTGCAAAGCTGGGATGGCTTCAAATCTAGGCTTTCTTCTGAGGATGCTGCTCCTCGGTAAGGTTCAGGGAGGCCAGTACCCAAAGCCTGGCCATCAGATAACTGGTTTAGCCACAGCAACTCAAGAAATCATCTGCTAAATCTCAGAGGGACAGTCACGGCCATCAGGGGATAAGACTAAGCTCTGGGAGCCTTCTGGGGATCAGCCATAGTCCTAGGAAAGTTCCCGAATGCAATTCAGGCTGCTCTCCCTCCTCTTCCACTCTGACTGCCACGCATCTTCACTGGCATCTCCTGCCCCAGGCAACTTCTGTACTCTCAGAAATGTGCTCAGTCCTTAACCTCTACATGTTTCTCTCTGACTGCCCCTTGGCCCATCTGTTGGCTTCTCCATCTATGGACAACTCTACTTCTGATCTTGCAGCTCATATGTCAAAATCACTTTTCTCCTTATCCTCTTGCAAGTCACTAACAGCTCTTTCATCTTCCATCTTAGAAATTTGTTTCCTCCCAAATGGGGAGTCTTTAGAGGTAGCATGGAAGGTCAAGGGAAGAAGAGAAAGGAGAAATGGATCACACTGCTCCAAGCTGAGCTTGGATCCGTCCATCACTACTCTTTGGGTCCACTCCTGAACGACCTAAGAGGACAGTCACCTGGGGCGTATCTCTCCATCTCATCTAGAGGACAGCCAGAGACCTGCCACTAGCTGCCTCGCTGAAGTAGACACAAACTACATCCCTGGCCTGCCCCAATCTAAGAGTTTAGTGACCAAACTGAAAAAGGAAGCAAACTTAGTCCAGTGTGACAGTCTTCGCAAACTATCAGCTCTAAGCGATTGCTTCCTTCCTTCCTAAGGAAGTCTTGGATTGAAGTGATTTGTTTTCCTGTCATACTTATATGCAGTTAGACCCTACATTCTTTAAAGATAGGAATCGCATTCTACCTCATCTCAGTAACCCTAGTGCCTACCAGTATCTTCTACACAGCTGGTGCCCAACACATGTTTGTTGAATTATATTGAGCATTAATACCCCTGCCACAGACGCAAACCAAAGCAGGGCCCAAACTCTATGCTATTTTCAGAGAGGCAATGTGATCATATGGAAAGAAAACAGGCTTAGGAGGCAGGAAGCTAGGGTTCCAGCCCCAGATCTTCTGTGGAAGCAGCTGAAAAACCAAGGACAAACCACTTGCTCTCTCTAAGTCTGTAAAATGGGGGCCTTGGCCTCAAGGGTGCCTTAAAATCTCCAAGTCTAACACAGCACGATGCAGTGACAGACTCCAAAATTACAGGCTTTCAATTTAAGGAGATCCATTACTGCACGTGGCATCACCAAAGGGCATCCCAACATAAACTTTTCCATGTCCTATTTTTCTGTGTATTTCTGACATTTCTCCAAGTCAGCTGCTGAAAACAACTCTGCTGAGCCCGTATTTCTTTTTTTTCCCCACATTGATATATTAAGGTTTAGAACTAACATTTAACACCCAACCAATAAAACACACTTCCTAAAGAGCAGTAGCAATTTGATTTCACACCACAAGAAGACAGAAATGGTACCTTTGACAGGGTTGGACAGTCGGAGGTGATTCTCTACCAGCTGCATGCATTTGTTATCCATGAACTCATAGGCAGACAGGATTTCCCCCAGCATTCCCTTGCAGGTACTGAAGGTTTTCAGAACTTCAGCAAAACCTGGACAACCTTTCCACGGAAGGTCAAAGCATTAGAAATAGCCTCATTGATCACATCTGGAAGGCATCACTGGTTACAAATAGGAGAACCAGGGGCAGCTAGGTGGCACAATGGATACAGCACCAGCCCTGGAGTCAGGAGGACCTGAGTTCAAATCTGGCCTCAGACACATAACACTTACTAGTTATGTGACTCTGGGCAAGTCACTTAACCCCAACTGCCTTGCCAAAATAAAATAAAATAAAATAACATAAAATAACATAACATAACATAACATAACATAACATAACATAACATAACATAACATAACAAAATAAAATAAAATAAAATAAATAAAAAAAATTAAAAAAAATTAAAAAAATTTAAAAAATTAAAAAAATAAAAAAATTAAAATAAAATAAAATAAAATAAAATAAAATAAAATAAAATAAAATAAAATAAAAATGGGAGAACAGATCCTCACCCCAAGCAATGCCTCCCATGCTCCCTTCTAGAGGCATACAATGCGATGTCATTCCAGTGGAACAGGAGCTCATACACCAAAGAGAAACTCATAAGACATAACACAGGTGATAAGATGGGTGGGATCCACCCCTAAACCTATAGGCTGACAGTGTTATCTTTGAACATGAAAGATAACAAACACATGCCAAGGACAAAGATGACTTTGGGATTTTTCCAAACCTTGAAACTAGTTCTTGTAACAATGGGTCCTTTTACACTTAAGAGTTCACCTCTAGTAGGATTCTAAATAGTGAACAACATGGGGGAATAGTATGAGTGGATTCTATTGGAGACTAAAGTTGGGTTTTTAAAGGGAGTTGGCATAGAGAAGGCATCTAACAGATGTTAAATGAAGGAATGTATCCTGCTTGCACTTACAGATTGAAGTTGAGGGGCTTTTTTCTAATTCAAAGGGAGCTGGCACAGCGAAGGCTGCCTGACTGATTGAATGAAGGTAGCCTGGTTCCAGCGCTATATCAACTCCTTCAGGGCCTAAGATGCCAGCTGCACCATTAGTTTTGACAGCCCAGATAAAGGCCGGATGGTGACATGCAAGGTGAAGTGATCCCACTTGGGATGGAGCTTTGTGCTTCCCAGTGCTTCCTGTTCAGATTCAGCTCCCCATAGTCAAAGTAAGTTAGAAAAAGAAGGCCTGAGTCTCCAGCAAGCAAAGAGCTTCATGTTCAGCTCAAACCTGTCCCCGCCCACCCTCCCAAACTTCCACTGGACTTTGCCTCTAATGTTAAGGGGGAGTCACCCTGCTGGTCCTACCTAGGAATGCCAAGTTCACAGCCTTAGGTTTCCGAGGACACAGAATGGAAACAGCAGTGATGACGCCCAAGGTGCCCTCTGAGCCAATAAAAAGCTGCTTGAGGTCATAGCCAGTGTTGTCCTTCCTCAGGGAAGTTAAGCAGTCCAGAACGAGGCCATCAGCCAGCACCTGGCAGGGGAAAGGGGAAAGCACGAGTTTGAAATGGCATGCTGACATTTAGAGAAAGCCCCCAGGGCTGATGAGTGCTCTGAAAATAAGTGAAGAAGCATGTTTATATCTCCTAGTCAGCCATCAGCAGATGGCAAAGTAATAACAATTTTGCTCTTGAAGCTTTGAGATTTGGCAAATGTTAGTGAAGACACAGTTTACATGAGGACGGCCAGCTGGGGCATGCACGCACACACGCATACACTATACAAAAGGCTATGCCCAATCAGACGTCTCTGTCATGTTTTGAAAAGGATCAAACCATAGCAACACTAATAGTTAAGTGACGTGCTCTTTAGAGCCTTCAGGAGGACTCTGGCTATCCTCAGGAAAGTACTTTTTTTTTTAATGGAACTTCAAGGAGAGGTGCCAGGGACTCAACAGGAAGCTTCTTGTTAGCTGCTGATGGTCAACTTTGTGGGGAAAAAACATACGTAACCTTTGGATTGACCCTGTGTGACATCACCCACAAATGCTCATCGTTCGTCACTGACCACGGCACAGCGCGAGGTCTCCATCAGTGAAAGCCATGCCGTGCAAACGTCAGCGGCCCAGGGCACCCAAGGGCTGCACCCACTGACCCTACAACCCACAACCTGCTCCCTTCACTCCTGCTCAGCTGCTTTTGCCACTTAGGCCTCTTCATTTTCCTACTAACGCTCATTTTTTTCTCCTGAAATAACCTATTCAGACCCATTTTACTCATGTGCGGTGCAATCCACAAAGGATCGGGGATTTTATCAACATGAAGAATTCTTAGATTGAGATTCATCCATAACCATGATAAAAGCAAGCATTTATATGGTCCTTGAAGGTCTGGACTACGCACGCGCATGTATATGTGTGTATACATGTATGCATGCATGTGTATTTATATACCTACATGCATTGTACATGTATGCGTGTGTGTAGTCGATCCTCAACATTCATACATTTAACTTTCATGACTTTAAGCATTCACATGATTTTATTAATAACCTCATTTTCGTGTTGGCAATCACACACATTCACGGGTATGTACAGTGGAGCGCCTGGCACCCTCCCAGGTGCTCCGCTGGTCTTATTCTGTGCACTCGTTGTATATTTTCATCATTTGCTTTTAAAACTCAAATTCTGTGCCACAGTTATGCCCCACCCCCCCAAAGTACAGTGCAAGTTCTTTGGGCCCTAAGCCCAAGCGTGCAAAGTCAGTGATGCGGCTCAGTGACAACATAAAGGTGTTAGATAAATCTTCAGCCAGCATGTCTGCAGCCTCTGTGGGTCACAGGTTTGGTGTCACTGAATCAGAGGTTTGTTATATAGTACAATGCCCTCACACCACCATCTGGCATAATGGAAGGGAAAATTTGAGTTAAAAAATGTTTTAGTTTTAAGAATTTTATTTGCTGTAGTAATTATGGTGTTGTAGATTTCATGTGTTATAAAAAATAAATATTATATAAAATCATCTTTTATTGAGATTTTTAGCACAAAAACTCAGAGAATTGTTTGTTTTTTAAATAATATGTTATTTTTCCCCAATTACATGTAAAAACAAAAGGTCACAGAATTCTAAGGAATTACTAGTGAAAAATGTTTTGCATGTTACCAATTTTATTTTATGGGTTATTTCATATTTACTGTATTAGGAAAAGTGCATATTATCAGAATTAATGCTTTGCTATAGAGAATTTTATGCAGAAAAGTGTATTTTCAGTAGTCTCTAGAGCAAGATGACAGGTTTTGGTAGTAGCAGGAACCTCACCTCTATTTCCCATAGGTTCCACGTACAACATTCACATTTTTTACTTTTGCACTATTTTCTAGGAATGTTGCTCCTGCGAAAGTTAAAGATTGACTGTATGTGTGTGTGTGTGTGTGTGTGTGTGTGTGTGTGTGTGTGTATGCATGCGCATGCGCATAAAATCTCATTAGATCCTTACAGCAATCCTGGGAGGTAAGCACTATTATTATCCCCATTTTACACATGAAGAAACTAAGGCAGACAGACGTTCAGTGTCTTACCCAGAGTCAAACAACTAGTATGTGTCTGAGGCAGCACTGGAACTCAGGCCTTCCGGACTCCAGGCCCATCACTCTGCGCACTACGGTATCACCTAGCCACCACTAAGCAGCACTGACTTAGTTACTGGGTCCCAAGGAGTTGCCTGAGGCTGAGCAAGGTTCAGTGCCTTACCCAGGATCACCCAGCTAGGAAAACGTCCAAGGCAGAATTCAAACTTGGGTCTTCCTGTCTCCAAGGTCAGCCTCCTCCCCGCTCTGCTACATTGATGCAATTAGAGACATACACACACACACACACACACACACACACACACACACACACACTCTGGGGAACACCCTCCTGATGCTGATCTAGGGGAAAGGTTGGCAGTAATCTGTTACACTTTTACTTTACTGTTGCTTTAGGAGTCCTGATTGTGCTCAGGACATAGCTACATTCACATACCAATGATCCATTTGATTGCAGGGCTTGGCACTACTTCCAAAGCCAGAGAGAAGCAGGAGCACCCAATTGGGAAATGAAGGGAAAACGGAAAGAGAGCTGAGGAAACAAACAGAACGGGACTTTCTGCTGGAAATGGCAAGATGACAAGAAACCCACTCCAAATCTGAAGCCCAACACATTCGTCAAGATCCATGGAAAGACGTATATCCACTGGTGGTCACTGACTGGCTTGGGAAGTCAAAGCCGAGGTCTGGGCTGTCATTACGTCACGTCCACGGCTGCCTTCCTCCTGAATCTGCCCCTCCTGCCTACTTACACCATCTCTGCCCTTAGACAGTCAAGCTGGTGTCAGTGGAAATCGGCATCGGGGCATCTTCGAGAAACAAAATTAAGGACGTGAGCATTATAATCACAGCAGCTCTCACCTGCCTCTCGCTCTATGAAGATTTGGAAAGCACTTTACAAGTATGGTCTTTGATCCTCACAAGTCCCCAGTGAGGGAGGCTCTGTTATTGTTCCCACTTTAATAGATAAGGAAATAAGTGAGGCTCCCAGTTTGGGGTCATCGCCCAGGCTCACCCAGCTAGTATCTGAGATGGGGTTTGATCCAGCTTAGTGTGACTTTGGGGTCAATGTTCTATTCATCATACCATGCTGAAACATTCTACAAGCTACTGAATAGCAAACACACACACACACACACACACACACACACTATGCTGAGTGTGAAAATGATCATAGATTTTTACATATGAAGCCCCAAATAATATCCCTTAATAGTGATCATAAGATTGAGGTAAATAGCAATGGTTTGGGTTTTTTTTTAAATAATTATGAAAGGACTAACATATTGCATTCACAAGTAGCAAGAATAGAATTGTCTACACCCAATTGTGAACAACAGTGTTCTAAAGTTTGCTCAAGGCTTGGATGTCTTACCACTTCTAGTCCGAGAACTGTCCCATGCAGAGAGCCGTATCTCAGAAATCTGAGACCACCTGCATTAGTGGCCACATTTCCGCCAATGTGACAACTACCCTTCGCTCCCAAATCAAGGGGCATGATGAAATCTCTTTCCTCTACATACTGGTTCAGCTGCTCAAGGATACACCCAGCCTGGCAAACTAGAATTCCTGAAAACACCAAATTCAAGTTATTGTCACATACTCACCTTTGGCAAAAGACAAGTAATTTCTAACTACAGCTGTTACACCTCCCAAGCTACATCTGGTACTTAGAAAGAATCCTGGCTTAAGTGAAGGAGTCATCACCACCCTCCTCTCCCCCTGCCCCAGATCAGTGGAGAGGGCGAGAAAGAAGCCTTCATCCTTTACCTCAGGAATTAGAAATACCTTTGCTAGAATGATTAAACAATTGGTTCCCATGCAGTAAGAAAAAAGGAGAAAAGAAGGAAGTAGAAAAGGTGTTGAAAGAAAGAAAGGAGTGGATGATAAAGGGTCTAGAGGGGGAAATGACAAGCACATAAATGGAAAGGCTAGCACTATCTGTGTCTCCTGAAGCCAATAAATATGGAAATATCATAAGGCTGTGTCATCTGAGTAGTTGGCAAACACAAAAAAAACTGGATAAACATTTAAAATGAATTTCACTGATTTTCCAGGCTTGTTCATCTTCTATATGAATTGGGTAATTTTTCTGGTGAGTCATGAACGAAATCAAATTTTCCTCATTGTTCTATATGTATGAAGAGTTTTGGTCAATATCTACAAAATATTTTCCTAAATTAACCAAGTTTTTCTTGAACACCAACTACAATGAAGACCACAAAGTTAAAAAGGCATGAGAAATGCAAAATAGTAGACTTTATCAAAAAAAAAAAATTTAAGTGCTGATGCCATGCAAAACACCAAACACAGCTCTGAGAGTTCAGAAAAGATGTGGTCCTGTCCTCATGGAGCTTACAGTCTAGTAAAGGGACGTGACACCAACAACTACAATACAAAATGAGACCTAAGTGTCTAAGTGTGAGGCATGAACAAGGAATTGTCATCAGCTGGGAGATGAAGGAAGATTTCCTGTAAAAGGTGTCATTTGGAAGGGCAAGATTGGGTGAGAAGATGTTCTAAACACAGGAAATTGATAGGCGGGTAGCAATGGATCTGTTTTGACTGGGTCAGAGAATGAAGAAAGAGAAGGAGTATACGATAAGGTAGGAACAGCATTAGGAAGATTATCCAGGCAGGGGCAAGAAGGCTATTATTAGAGGCGAATTGGGGGGGGGTTTGAAAAGAGCAGTTCAGAGGTTCCTGCAATGATCCAGGAGGGTGCTAATGAGGTTTCCTGCTAGGCAGAGCGCCAGGGGAATAGGGAGGAGGGGTGGACTCCAGAAATAGAAAAGAATGAAACTGACAAGACTTTGTAACTCATCAGCTATGTGGGAGGAGTTAAAGATAGCACCATCATTTCAAATGTGGGAGATTTGGCAAGGCAGAGCAGTCCTGACAGACAGTGAATTAAGGAGGAAGTGGTGGGATCTTGGCTCAGTCTTGGCTCATTTTTTGGACTGAAAAGCAACAATAACTTTGCGCTCCTTGTTCTATAGCTCAGTGGAGGTCAGATAAGAATAACCACCTTGTATTTCTATGGAGTTTTACAGTTTACAAAGTGCTTTCACATGGATTAATTATCTTATTTATCTTCACAACCACATTATGGTTGGGCCTTATATTCTCTTTGTTACAGATCAGGAAACTGAGGCTTGAAAAAGGTTTAATGACATCCCCAGATAATTTGGTAGCAGAGCCAGAGCTAGAATACAAGTTATTAGCTTTACTGTTTAAACAGATAATAGCATGCTATAGTGGAAGGCAGCTCTGCCTCTCAATCTGAAAGCAAATTATACTTAAACTAAGAAAGAGATTCCAGGCTTCTCTCTAGCTCCTATGTGGCCCCAAGAAGCACTTGAAAGAGCCCAAGGCAACTCACCAGCCATAGTGTCGAAGCTGATGACTTGATTCATCAGTGCCGTAGAGAGGATAATTTCATCAAAGACAGGGACGCTGCCCCCCACCATACCTGTGTTCCCCCCCTGAGGATTGACAGCCAGGTTCCTCTTATTGCAGTACCTAAAATAGAAAACACAAAGTTGGTGATCCCAGGGAGCTAAAGATACTATTATTAGAAAAGAGAATGGGATATTTTTCTTCTCATGCCCATGCCTAAGGCATAAACACTTGAGCACAGACAAAATTAAGTGCCTAGAAGATTTTGCCTTCTGTGTGGCCCTGGAATTTCACTGGTTTAGTGAACTACCCAAGGAGGAGATATCCCTTCTCTGTGACTTAGTCTGACAGTTACCTGGGATAGGAAGGTTACAAGACTTGCCCAGGGTCACAGAGTCAATCAACCAATAAACATTTAGTAAGTGCCTACTGGGGCAGTTAGATGGCTTAGTAAATAGAGCTCCAGGACTGGAATCAATAAGACCTGACTTCAAATGTGGCCTCAGACACTTCCTAGCTATGTGACCCTGGGCAAGTCACTTAACCTTGTTTGCCTCACTTTCCTTGTCTGTAAAATGAGCTGGAGAAGGAAATGGAAAACCACTCCAGGATCTTTGCCAAGAAAACCTCAAATGGAGTCATGAAAAGTCAGACACAACTGAAATGATTGAATAAAGTGCCTACCATGTGCCAGGCACAGTGCTAAGAGCTGAGGATAAAAAGAAGGGGGGGTGGGAACAGCCACTGCCTTTAAGGAGCTCACAGTCTAATAGAGGAGAGAGACATCATGCAAATAAATGACTCTGTACAGGACAGATAAGAAATAATCAACAGAGGAAAGGCACTAGAATTAAGAGGGAGAGAGAAAGGCCAATTGGGAAAATCCACTATGGGTCAGAATCAAGACTCGAACTCAGGTCACCCTGACTTTGAGTCTAGCTCTCTGTCCACTAAGGGAAAGACATCACCTCTCCAAACATACGTACATACATACATACACATACATGAATAAATGAATGAATGAATGGGACTAGCAGAGAACAACCGAAAATAAGACACAGCACTTCAAGTCTCTCAGTAACATATATTCTGGGACATCTTCAAATACCTTGAAAGGATGTCTGACTTCAGGAAGACAGAAGTCACAAAGACGGCACAGTGGGTAGAGCGCTGGACCTGGAGTCAGGAAGACCTGAGCTCAAATACATTTCAGACACTTGGCTGTGTGACCCTGACCACAAAAAGGAACTTCTCTCAGCCTCGGTTTCCTTGTTTGTAAAATGGGGATAACAAGAGCACCAAGCTCACAGAGTGGTGAGGATCAAATGGGATTATCCATGAAAAGTACTTTGTAACCCTTAAAGCCCCTCTTATGCAAATACTCGCCATGGCATTAACATGTGAACACTGGCACACGTCCTAAGGCCAGAGCTTTCCCCCAAGGAAGCATCCACGGCAGAAAGAACACTTGTGTCAATGTTCTCCCGTCACCAACCATGGAATCACAGGAGATCTCCCGCATGTACTTTAGGTATCTAAATAAAAGTTAAAATAAGGCTTCAAGATCCACTTCCGTGTCAGCCTCCAGTAATCAACCCTACAGGATTCCCTTTTTTGCTCGACTGCCACCTTGGTATTTGTATATTCCTTTTTATTTTTTTTCCAACTAAACCTGCAATTTCACCTGTGTCAGGAAATGCTCTTTCTAGCAAGACACAAGGGTACCTGATGTGCTACTGGCAGTGTCAGCGAGGGGGAGGGGCACTCAGAGGTCAAGGGAGCAGGCCAAGGTCACCCAGCCAGGGTCACCCAGGATGGGACTTGAACCCAGGTCATTCCTGGGCCAGCTAAGTACCCATCATGCCCTGCAGCTTCTGTGTATTCCTTATTAACTTAGTACTCCAAAAAAACACTCCTTATCAACTCCAAGGAATGATTTCCTAGTTTCTTTTGAAGGTTGTACAAAGAAACATTCCTCCTACAGGCTGGCCCTGGTTATCCACCTCTTTAGCTCCTGTGAGGTAGAGATGGTGTCCTTTCTTCATCCTCTACTTCCCCCAATGACAAGCACAACACTCAGTGCGATGCAGCCACTGGTCTGGTCTGTTCACTGAACTGTGACTGAGGACGGGTCAAAGCGGCTGTTCAGCACGTGTGCCAGTTTTGATTCACCTCATGAGGCTATCAACTATCACCTAGTCTGGAATTCAAGAAATTCTTCTCGATAGATATTTAGGGCCTGCCAATGCAAGGGGCAAGGGCAGGCTCCGAGAAGGCCTTGCCATCAAGAAGCTTACATTCTCCTGTGGAAATTCAACTCATCAGCAGCGAAGTTGATACAAAGTAATCCCAAGAGGGCTAGAGGGGGAGCAGGAAAGGCCTCCGGGGAGAGACGGTGGCTGGCTGGGGAAGGGAACTGCCCACTGCCCGCTATGGAAGCCATCCAAAAGTGGAGGAGAGGAGGCAGCAGGTTCCTCCTCACTGGGGGCCCGAAGGAGGGGCCAGCCGAGCACTTGGTGGGGACACGATGAAGGCCAATCAGCTAGAACTGGACCAGACGCCTCGGAGGCGTCTTCCCCCACTTTGCTTCCAGGATCCTGTAAACCCGTCTTCCTCTGACATCTCCAGTCAGCCTCCAGGCCACCTTCCCTCAGCGGCTGCAGCCCTTAACCACCAAGTGCATTCACAAGAGGCTCCCTGGACAAATCTACTCCCAGCAGCCACTCGTACACACCGGACAGAGATGTCCAGAGAAGACTAGAGATGAGTGAGGAGCATGGCACTTGAGAGGGATTTCGGTTTTTAGTCACGTCTCTCCCCTTCCCCGCCCAGGGAATACAAAAGAGCAGCCGAATTCACAGACATCTTAAGCACGGTATATGATAGCATATGAAATATTCATCACCCAGAGCTTCCCCCTCCCCCACATACACACTTCTACAGACAAGGGGAGGGGGGAGCCCAGTGCAACCAGGTGCATTTCCCACCTGGCTGTGCTACTTTGGGACTTGGGGAACTTCATCAAGCCCCAGGAAGCTCATCACCACTACTGCCCCTCTGACTGGAGGGGAAACCAGGAACTCCAAAGCTGCATTTAAGGAGCGGCCTCCGGAGAACAATCATGTTCTCTGTGACTTCTCTACAACACCCCCCACATCGGTACCTTACCTCTGCCTTCCCCCCCCTCCCACTTTCCAGCTTCCTTTCATAGGTTATCTTTTTCCATTAGACTGTAAGCACCTCGAGGGCAGGGACCGTATTGCTTTTTTCTTATTTGTATCCCCAGCACTTAGCACTTAGCAAACAGCAGGTACTTGATAAATGGTCACTGACATTGTCCGCATCCTCCTAACAGTTTCTCCAGTTACCTGAGTATTTGGGAGACCTCTTCTGTTGTCTTGGGCCTCAGCAGCACTTTACTGCAGCCTGTCACAAAACCAAAAGATAGTCAAGCTCGCGCAAGGGCTTTAAATAAGCAAAAATGTAAAAACCATAAAAAGATGTTCCTCATTACTTAATAATATTATTCAAGCATTTCTCACTTGGGTCCAGGCTGGGTCTTGCCTAAAAAAACGAAAAGGATGATAATGAAGGTTTTAAAAGCCATCAACAACAAATAAGAACTCCAATTAGAAGGTTTACAAAGTGTTTCTTTCCCAACAGCACATGAGCACTTGTGGGATGCTATCTGTGTTTTTACTTACTTAGTAACAAATACTACAGCTACACCACAGCCCAACAACCTTAACTCAGTCCAAAGAAAACCTGGACAGCATATTCCAGGCTGAAGCCAGTTTTCTCCTTGTGAAAGAATCAGAACACAGAAAGGATTTCAGAAAAGAATCCCAGCAAAGAACTGCAAAGTTATCAGAAGCCAGTGGAAAGACCATCACCAATAATAAGAGAAAAGCACATTCCAAACACCCAGGAAAAGGGAAAAATGACAAGACACAGTCATCGTGACAGGAAGGGCAGGCACACTCCCAAATTCTTGGTGGAACTGGGAATTGGGCTGTTTCTGGAAAATAATTTTGAGTTGGGCAAGAAAAGCCATTAAAATGCTGGTTAATTCAGAAAGACCATTACTGAGCATATGCACTTAATAGGTCAAAGATAGGAAAGATAACACTGTATCTCAAAACATTCAGAGCAGTACTTTCTGCCGCAGGAAAAAAAAAAACAGAAATGAAAATGGTTGGTGATTGACCGGGAAACAGCTGAACAAACTGTGGGTATAGGAATGTAACAGAACATTATTACATGTTAGAAATAACAAGTGGAAACACGAGGGAAATTATACGAACTGACCCAGAGGGAAGTAAATAGAACCAAGAAGACGTACACACATGACAATACAACAGAATAAACAGAAAGGTAAGGAAGGAGAGAAGGAGGGAATGAGGGAAGGAAGAAAGGAGGGAGGGAAGGTAGACTATTATAATGACCAAGTCTGGACCAGAGAAGAATTGAAAAAATGCATCTCCTTCACCTCTTTACAAGGGAGCAGACAACAGTATAGACTATCGCACAGGTTGTTAAATTTGTTGTGTTGTTTACTTTTGCTGAATCTACTTTTCTCATATTTATGGGAAGGGGAGGGATGTATTCAGAAATGAAAATGTAAAATGAATATATACATATCATATATAATGTAAAAATATAAAGCAAGGTATCAATAAACATAAGGTAAAAAAGACAGCAATAATTACAGGAGTCTGCGAAAAGATGAGAAATTTGGGTTCATCAATTTTTTTTAAAAGAATCCTACATTTCTATGTAAAGCTAAATAGAAACAGGATTGAAGAAGAGAAAATACATCAGGGGAACCCACATCATCTCAATTATTTTATCAAGGCAAATCTAACTCTATCCTAGGAAATTTGTCTGCTGCACCACATTAAATTTGAAGAGGCCTTAATGAAAGGTCCGAATGACAATTCTTCTAAGAGTATTCAGGACACCAACTTCACTAAGCGAACCTTCTAGCCTGTTGGTCGAATGACTGGTTGATTACCGACTCAACAAGAGGCACTGAGGGGCAGCTAGGTGGTGCAGTGCATAGAGCACTGGCCCTGGAGTCAGGAGAACCTGAGTTCAAATCCGGCCTCAGACCAAACACTTGACACTTATACTAGCTGTGTGACCCTGGGCAAGTCACTTAACCCCAATTGCCTCACTAAGAAAAGAAAAAGAAAGGAGGCACTGATCCCTCAGCACTCTCCCAAAACCGTGTCTTTCTCAAGCCAGATGCTGCACTCTGACTCAAACAGCTGTAGCCCAGGATCTCTCCCCACCCAGCCTGGGCCTCCAACTATTTCACCTCCCTCCCTCTGCAGGGCTTATCTAGAAAGTCTCCTCTGCTGATCTCCTCTAGATCATCTCAAAGGCCCCTTCTTAGGAGTCTGGCTTAAATTCAACACACATTTTAAGTCCCTAGTAGATACAAGGCGTTGTGCTAGGTTATGGGGAGACAGAAATAAATAAATAAATGTGTCTTCCAGAAACAGGGAGCGCACTAGCAGAGGTGCAAGCTGTAAAGAGCTCAGTCCAGTACAGGATACATGTCAGGTGTCAGACCAAAAGGCTTAGGGCAGAGGTGTCAAACCCTAACAGAAACATGCCTAAGGATCCCTGTGAAGGAATACTGACTTGGAAAACCACACAGTTAATATTATCTCTGTTTTACCCTATTTTTATTTATTTTGTTAAATACTTCCCAATTAGGTTTTCATGTGGTTCGGGCTGTACTGGGAGTGCTGTGGGCTGCACGCCATCTGGGGACAAGTGCTTGACACCTCTGCCCCTAGGAATACTTGAGAGAGAAAACACTTTCAGTTGGGAGGAATCCAGGAAGACTTCATGAAGGAAGTGCCACCTGAGCTGAGCCTTGAAGGAAAAGAAGAATTTTAACAGATGTCACTGAAGAGGGCATGTGCTCCAGATATGGGGAATGGCCCGGGTAAATACAGAGGTGGGAAATGATGGATCTAATTGGGGGAGGGAGGGCGGGGGAACCTACTATTTTGTTTAACTAGATCCTGAAAAGCGTGAAGGAAAGTATGATAGGATGGAGCGTAGAGCAGCAGCCCACCACCAGCTTGGGGAAGGCTTGAAATGCTGGACTAAGGCATCTGTCATTTATACTCCACCCAACAGGGAACTCCAGAATGTTCTCGAGCATGGAACTCAGGCTCTGTGTGCAGACTGACCTGTGTGTCAGGAAAATGATGTTGGCCCACTAATGATCCTCATTCAAGTTTCTTACGATTTTTTTTAATCAAAATTCACTTTGAGAAGAAAGTTTAGGGTCTCCAAACAATCCTGGTAACAATGAAGGGCCTAACTGGAACAAAATGAATTATTACATAGCAATTAAAAGTCGCACCAGAAAAGCTCTCAGTGCCAGAACACAGCAAACGTTGCTCTGACTATGGAGGGGAGAGCCCTGAGAAGCTCTGAAATTTATCAGTCCCTCTCTTAGGCACTATGATGGATTGCTAGAATAGAACCGGACCAAAGGCAGAAAAGCTTCAGATTCCAGAAGGGAAAGGCACAAGTGAAACCACAAGCTAATGCGGGGACAGCAAACAGACGTCTCAACACCAGGGCAAAAGTCAGTGACTTGCAGAAAATGGGACTAGCTCACAAGTGCAATGCTTGACGGTTCACAAACTACTTTCCTCACCTCCACCTCCTGAATGGGTGGCTTCCTGCAAGTCTCAGCTCAGATATGGCATCCTGCAAGGGGCCTTTCCAAGCTCCCCTGGCTGCTAAAGCCTTCCTCTCCCATACCACCTTCCATCTACTCTGTGGCACACTTTCTATATCCTAATCATGTGCATACTGCTTCACTTATTAGGATATAAGTTCCTGGGGATGAACCCAAGATGACAGAGTGGTAGGGGGAAATAGGGTGAGATCCTGTCCACGGACTCTTCCAGACAGAACTAGAAAATGCACCAGGCCCCATCTTGACGGTAAAATCCAGAAAAAGTCACAGTGAATCCTTTGTCCAGCCCAGGTCAGCAAAGGGAGGGAGGGAGAAAGAGAGAGAAAGGCAGCTTGATTCATGTGTCCCCCTCTGATCCCTATCATCAGGGTTCACAGAAAATGTTCAATGAGACAAGGTCTGAGAGTGGTTCTTAAGAAATGGATGGAAAGAGAGAAGGAGAGGGATACACTAGGTGGGAGGAGAGGAGGAGCAGGGTTAGTGGAAATTATCTCACATAATCAGGATACACAACGAAATTTCTATATAAATAAGGAGGCAGCGGCGGTGGGAGGAGCAGGTAACACCTGAACCTCACAGCTGAACTGGTCAAAAGAAGGAAGGAGAGAGAGAGAGAGAGAGGGGAGGGAGACAGAGAGAGAGAGAGGGAGGGAGGAGGAGGAGAGAGGAGAGGAAAGAAGAGAAGAGAGGAGAGGAAGGGGGGAGAGAGAGAGAGAGAAAATGAGAAGAGGAGAGGAGAGAGAGAGGAGAGGAAGAGAGGAGAGAGAGAGAGAGATAGTTGAGTATAGTAATAAACGTCATTATTCAAGGGCAGCTAGATGGTGCAGTGGATAGAGTGCCAGGCTGAAGTCAGGAAGACTCATCTTCCTGAATTCAAATCTGACCTCAAACACTTACTAGCTGGGTGACCCTGGGCAAGTCACTTAACCCTGTTTGACTCAGTTCCTCATGTGTAAAATGAACTGGAGGGAAAAACGGCAAACCACTCCAGTATCTTTGCCAAGAAAACCCCAAAATGGGGTCCCAAAGACTTGGACATGACTGAAACAACTGAATGACAACAACATACATTTTATTCAACAGAAAATTAGAAGGGAGAAAAGGGGGGAGGGGAATTAGAAGGAGAGTAAATTAAAGGAGAGCGTAATCCTAAGCAACACAAACTCTAAGGACGCACAAAAGCATGCACAGCTCTTTTTGTGGAGGCAACGAATGGGAACGTGAGGGAGCGCCTAACCTGGGAAATGGCAGAACAAGTCACGGTAGAGAGACGTGATGGATTACTATTGTGCGGAACTTTTCTCAACATGATGGCCAACCAGGATCGCAGAAAACTGACGGGGAAACATGACACCACCTCCTGGGAGCCAGGGGAAGGACTCAGAGTGCAGAATGAGACAAATATTTTTTCTGACATGGTGACCATGGAAGCCAATGCAGACATCTGTTGGAGTTATAACTATACACACTTGTTTTCTTGTGTTCTCAATTTAAGGGGAGGGTGAGAAGGAGCATCTTTGCTGATTAAAACAAATAAAACTGTTTTTAAATTTTAAAAAATTTTTAAAAAAGAGAAAGTGCCTTGAAGACAGGTACTCTTGGCCTGTTCTTTGTATTTCCAGCACTTGGCACAAGGCCTGGCACAGAGTAAATGTTTGTTGATTGACTGAGTGGTTGAATGGCTCCAGAAGCAGGT